AATGTTTTTTTTTTACTAAGTGGAAATTAAAACCGTTTCTCTGATGACGTTTAACGGTTGCCAAATTAGCTAAATAAATTACCTAGTGAAACTACCAAACACCTGCCATGAGTGTAACCCTTCATCATCAGGAGGCGCTATAATCACTCTCGTAGGAGAACTTTGCTTTCACAATCCAAAATAAATACAGTAATCCAACATCAGTGACCGAAAGCTCTGCACCTCCCGCTACTGAGCAAAGCAGCAGCCGTTGAGTGTGTGAAGTGTCCAACAGTCCACAACTCATTTAACGGTTAAACAAGTCATCATCTGGTTATTTAAAGTGCACTTATTCTTCTTAAGAGTTTTAGTATCAATGCACTACTTACACTGTTTAAATTACAAAATGGCATAGAATAGTGCATTAATTTGTGTGATTTGGGATGCACCTACTGTTTGTGAAGCTCTTAAAATTTTACAAATCATTAGTTGTAACTTTAGTGTGGGCCAAGAAAAAAAAAAAAAAAAAAAAGTCAGTTAGGTTCCTCGGGGTTCTCCTGACCTCAAACATTTACAGACCAATTACATAGGGAAATAATTAATTTTTTATGACCAACTATATATAAATTTTCTAGTATTTATTATTAATCCAGTATTGCGTTTTAATTGACAGTTTTTTATGAATATTTTTCATAACTATGGCAGTTTTGTAGATGTTTATGCCAATTTCTATAAAATGGTTCTCTGTTGCAGTCACACGTGTGTGTTTATGCATGCGTACATAAGAGATAAAAATTGTTTATGTCCCAATTTTTTATTTGTGCTTTAGACCCCGGCCTTTGCAGAGATGTAAAATATTCCAGATTTATAATGTGTTTAAAATGTATTTTAGACAAATGAATGTCCTTTTTTCCTCTTCACTTTACCCATTTATTTTCAATGTGGAGTCAATCTGATCCCAAGAACCCTAAACAGCGATTTCTTTTTTTACACACCTTTAAAACAAACAAATCAAGTCCGGTTACTTTGTGTGTTTTATGATTAGTTTTAAGATTACTTTTTAGAAAAAGTTTCATGCTCTTGAGATGTAGGGAACACACGATTCAGCGCAACAAATAAAACTGCTGATTTTTTCACCCATTCATCAAAATATTATCTTTTGTGTTCAAGAGAAGAAAAAAAAAACACTTCAGCGTGAATTAAACAGTAAGAAAATTTTCTGGGTGAGCTAACCCTTTGACTTTCCTCTGAAATGTTTTTTTTACCTGATCTTGTTTCAGTTTTCATGAATATGTGCATTTTCAAACAACACATTTAATGATTTAATGAAAGCAGTACTTAATAGTCCCTTGTATGTCTGGTAAATCATGGTAAACACACCAAGCAAACCAAACAATTAAAAAAATAATAATAATCAATCAATAAAACAGTACATTACACAAAGACTAAATAATTAATAGTATTACACGAGTTATTAATTTCAATCAATAAATGACACATTCAATAAACTATTTGCATATACTCTGTATACTACACTTTGATGGATGTTTTAAATGCATTTCTAGAGCATAATACACAATATTCCATTGTTTCCATTTGATTTTACTGGTTAATTTAACATATAATAATAATTTAAAAGCATTTGCATATTCAGTCATGATATTTGTTTAATAAAACTGCAATTTGTTAAAGGGATGGTGTACCCAAAAAATGCATCTGTTTAATTGTCATCATTTACTCACCCTTTACTTGTTCTAAACTTTGATTTCCTATCATATGTTGAACACAAAAGAAGGTATTTTTGAGAAATCTAGAAACCTAAAAGCATTGATTTCATAGTAGAAAAAACTAATATCATGGTAGTCCCTAGTTACAGGTTTGCAACATTCTACAAACTATATTCTTTTGTGTTGGACAGAACAAACTCATAAAGGTTTGGAACAACATGAGGGAAAGTAAATAGTGAGTAAATGTTCATTTTTTGGTGAACAATCCCTTTAAATGGTCTTTTTGCAGAGTACTATTCACTTTGATAAGTCAACATCTACATTGATAAAGTGTGAAATAAAAAAAAGAACTGAAACAACGTCATTACAAACCAAATGAAGTTAATTTATTTACTAACATGAACTATGTGTTAACTCTACTTGTACAGCATTTATGAGTCATAGTTTAACATTTACTAATGCCTTATAAAAATCCAAATCCATGCTTGTTAAGATTAGTTAATGCACTGTGACGGAACTGAACTTTCAAAAACTAACGTTAGCCAACAAGAACAAATACTGTAGTAAATGTACTGTTCGTTCATGTTAATAAATGCATTAACTAACATTAACCTATTGTAAAGAGTTACCTCATTTTATGCAAAAGTAACATATATAGCCTATTTAGTTCATTATTATTACCTATATAGTGACAAATTATCATGAAAGCAACTGTTACATTTTCACAAATTATTTTATCCCAAACTTAAGCACTTTTCGAATCTTGAACAATGCAAGCCTTTTCAAGGATTTCCGGCACCTGTAAGAACCCTGATTGAATGTGGTTCTGCATTGCACAGCGTAATCCTTTACTAAAACTGGATTTCCATGATACTGCCTGTAATTTATTTCGTATAGAAACTGGTAAGTGACTGAGGGTTGTTCCACCAGTACCTGCTGCTACTGCTGCCAGTGGAGTTGTTGCGGCGCTTGCGGATCTTATCTCTGCCTCTCTCCTTCTCGGCTCCCTCCTTCGCAGGAGCTTTCTCCTTTCCTCGTTCCCTGGGCTTGTCCTCTGATCGCTCCCTACGCTTGGTTGGTGATGGGGCCCTGTGCCAATAGAACAAGCAATGGAGGTTTAGTTTGGAAAAATACAACAAACATTGTTAAAACAGTCTTGATCTTAGGCCCGCACGATAAATCAATTTCAAACCGAAGCATTGTCAGTGCATCGTGATTGTCATGAAATATGTAAAGCAATCTAAACGTAAAGGTTTTATATAGCTATAAGATTTTAAACAATTTTATTAAATTGAATTTAAAATGGTGTAGTTATTTTCTTAATTTGTTACGATAACTAACAACTTTATTGGAAAAAAAATGTTTCAAATAAACAGAAGCATAGTGTAGCGTACTTTGATTATGCTTGGTCTTTTTTTTTTTGGTGCTGTTAAATTCCCACATCAAACCTGCAGCTCTTTTAAGAAATTATAGCAAATCGCATTTTAAATCACAAATCAGTTTTAATCAGATAAATCGCAATTAGATTTTTTTTCTAAATCAAATTACAGCATCAGCTGCCTTTTTGCATAAATCGCTGAAATTTATAGCTGGAGGAAAATAAGCCCGCTTATTAAAAACACATTTCACAACACATTTCAGGTAGAGTTCTTAATATTAGATGTTGTATCGGTTTTTAGAGTGTAACAGTTCATATATTCATACTGAACTAGCCTATAAGGCTGTGGTAAAAACCACAATTTTACAATACCACACTTTTTGAAAGCCAGAAAAAAAAAAAAAAAGCAAACCATGGCAACCACAATGTTCACTTTTGTCCTACACTATTTGCATTATACATTTCATTGTTGTGCTCTGCTGTTTACAGTTAATGAGATCTGGCAGCACAATTGCAGTATAATGAAGTACAAGCCATTTCAATTTCAATTATATCAAAATCACAAAATAAAAAATACATTAAAACCAATATTATTTAAAAAGGTAAACAAGATAATGTTCATTAAAAATAAACATGCTCCTTTCAGCTATAATTAACAGCTACTATGCTGCAGTGCAGTAGTTTCTTTTTACATGTTTGCATTTCTTCTTAATGTACCAACATTTTGAATTAACCATAATTTAATACATTTATATTTAATATTTTATTGGTTAATTAAATGGTGATCGGCAAGTATAGTCCAACCTTGCTATCAGAACCTGTAAAATAAAATTTGACCTCTACTTATACTCTCTAAAATTATGGAAATTTTGCAATCACAATAAGGTTTTTAGGGATATTAATTATAATATAAAACCCACAGATCACTTCCTTACCACAATAATTGCTGACTCGGATTCAAACTATTTCTCACATTTTGGTCATTCAAATTGTACTCTCAGTTGTTTAATGTTGTGTATCAGTTGGTATCTAGCATCAAAACAGTAAAAATTTTATGCATTTTCATACAACACAGTAAATAAGCAACTAGGGTTTTATCCATTTGCCCATATAAGCAACATTTAAATTATACTTAAAAACCGAGTATGATGATCTATTATATATATTAGGTAATACATATTTCAATAAGTGGGGAGTCTACATGGATTATATAATTTGACACATTGAAGTTCAACTTTGTATTTAATATAATTTCATACATTTTTATACATATCAGTTTAATTTAATGTGATATGAACATTAGATATAGCTGAATGTAACAGCTTAGATTAAAACAATTAACATAACTTAAAGCATTTTAATACAAATTGTTAGTGGAAAAGTGTGAATAACGTTAATTGTAAATAAACGTGGTGGCCAACAAATGCACTGCACTGAAATTCCCACTTTAAAGAGAAATTATAAATAATTTAGACATAAGCATAAGTTTACATAAGCAAGTTAAATCTTTAAAACTGCGATGACTTGATTTATGATTAAAAATATGTAATGTTTGTTGACTCTTAGTGTAACGCTAGCTTGTTGAGCTAATGCTAACACCGCCGAGATAAAACACGATAGTACAAAATGCCAACCCTTTTTACTAAAAACGCGACGTAAACATCTCTGCATAAACGCAGCTACAAATATGAAAACAAAACTGTCCGCACAACATAAACTTTAATCAGACAAACAGTCAAACTTACATGATGAATGAAGAGCGCGCGACACACTATTGCTGAGCTCGACAACCGTCGCGTCCTAATGACGTTTCCGTGAGGACGCAGGCGTGACGGCACTGATCCTGCGACGGTCCAACGGAGGCGGGGTGTGTTTTAATGCAATGGTCGTAAAGTAAAACAATAATGTACGCTTTTCAACGACACGTACTGTTGTTGTGTTGAAATCATCAGATCAGCGCGTTATGAATATAAAGACGAGCATTGTCATGTGACTTTATGATGGACCGTATCGTCGCTTTAAACGAAAACAGCAGAAGAGCAAAGTCGCAATAGGTGAGAGAGATGCTTAATTCTATTGTGCTCTTCTTAGTGCACTAGATCGATAGGGTGAATCTGAACTTGTTTCCCTATTAAAAACATTTCACTAGTAGAGTTTTTAAAATTACAACTGGTTTAACAAAAATAAAATCTGCCACCGGTGTGAAGTGGCTAGCTGCTCATGCTGGTGTGATTTGCTTATTAGACTGGCAGACTACTAGCTGGACACCAGTTTGAAACATCTGTTTTGGAGTAAAGCTTACCTAAGAGTATTTTTCTTTAAAAAATAATAGGCAATATTTACTATCAAGAACGTCGTTTAGTTTATGAAAAGCGGACAGAGGAAATTGTGTGAAACTTAGCTGGGACATTATACCAGAAACATGCATCATCTGTCCCTGAAATAAAAAATACTGGAAATGAAAAGTATTTCATCCCACAAATGTCTGAAATAGACTGATGGATGATTTATGTGAGTTGTTTTGTAAAGGAATGTGTCATTCATTTGGTTCTCAGAATGTTTTTCTTTATTAAAAACACTTTACTAATGTACAAACCCTGCCATTGTCCTTGTCCTCAGCCCAATTGAACCTACAGCTTTAATAGTTTTGTAATGTTAAAACCGTTATTCAGGAAGAAAAAACTTCAGAAAAAGCAAGTTTAAGTTGTTATCATTCACAACAATTGATTCAAAACATGAAATTATACATTAATTCTACTCTACAAATATATAATCAAAATAAACTTACAATTGGACACTATGTTTCCGTCAGTCTTGTCACATTTGCATTAAATTTAAAATATAATGCGTGCAATACACATTAAAGGTTGATTTGGAGGTGACATTACTTGCTGGTGAAGAAGCTGACAATGATCAAGGATGCATTCTATCATTGAATTGTTTGATTTTATTGAGGACGTGAAGCTTAAGTCAGGCCCTTTCACATTTTTATAAGTGAAAATGTACGTTTCTGCTAGAATGTCCCAACTAAATGTAAACATAACAGCAATTTTTTGACTTTTTATTATTTATTTTACTAGTCTCTTATTATCAAAAATAGCAGGATATCATTTAAAGGAAATTTTCAACATTATAATTCATTCATTTTCTTTTTGGCTTAGTCCCTTTATTAATCTTGGGTCGCCACAGCAGAATGAACCGCCAACTTATCCAGCACATGTTTTTTTTACGCAGCGGATGCCCTTCCAGCTGCAACCCATCACTGGGAAACATCCATAAACACTCATTCACACTCATACACTACGGATCATTTAGCTTATCCAATTTACCTGCACCACATGTCTTTAAACTTGTGGGGGAAACCGTAGCACCCGGAGGAAACCCACACGAACATAAGGAGAACATGCAAACTCCACACAGAAATGTCAACTGATCCAGCCGAGGCTCGAACCAGTGACCTTCTTGCTGTGAGGCGACAGCACTTTTGACAGAACTTTTGTCTAAACAAAGTCAGACCTTACTGTCCTAATAAAATAATTCAAAGTCAAGATATGATGATCATATTTTATTGTGGTAAAATATGCGTAATCTAGAGACCTTTGCCTTTCATATAAGCCACTTTTGATACCAAATGATCAAGTGCTGTAAAAGTCAAGTTATTATTTGTTTTTCCTAAAACTTGGATAGGTGACAAGACTTTTGGCAGGCAGTGAACCAGGGGTGCTCAATCCTGTTCCTGGAGATCTACCTTCCTGCGGATTTCAGTTGCTACCCATATCAAACACACCTGAACCAATTAATTAGGACCTGAACACCACGTGATAATTACAGGCAGGTGTGTTTGATATGGGTAGCAACTGAAATCTGCAGGAAGGTGGCTCTCCAGGAACAGGGTTGAGCACCCCTGCAATGAACAATTTACGCTATGAATAACCCACTAACAAAGTCTATTAGCCCAATAAACTAGTCATTAGAGGATTATTAATAGTTAGTAAGGTAGTACCTGGGTTTAGCTATTGGGTGGGATTAAAGATGTAGAATAAGCTCATACTTTATGACAGTTAACATCTTAACAAAAGAGAGGTAATGAGTAGGCCCACACGGAATCAGAATTCCGCAGATTTTCCGCAGAATTCCGCAGATTTTCCACAGATTTTCCTTAGATTTTCCGCAGAATTCTGCAGATTTTAAGCGCATCATTAATTCTGTTTATTTACTTGAGTAAATGTGTAAATCTGAATTTGTTCAGTTTTTATTCAGTAATTTATTACTTTTATATATTAAGGGTTTAGTTATGATACTCCTCTGGATACTCCCAAAATAATTCCACAGAAATCCGCAGATTTTTACCAAAATTCTCCGCAGAAATAGCAAAAAATGTCCGCAGATTCCGTCTGGCCCTAGTAATGAGCCAGTAGTTAATAGTGTGACTTAAACTAAAGTGTTACCTACAATAGTTCCAGGTTTTCAGCATTTGCATAGATATTATTTTGTGTTCAACAGAATAAACACACTTAAGAACAAGTAAAAGATGAGTAAATGATAACCGAGCTATCTCTTTAAATCAACATAGGTGGAAGATATATTAATCCTGAACATTTTTGCTTTCATTTCAGGATCTGCCAGCCTGTTTTTTTCACTCTCATTACTTGTTCTCCATCATGGGCCGACTAGACGACGCCGCCAAGCGCAAGGTAGTGGAGCTGAGAGAAGCTGGTTTAAGTTTCCGTAAAATCAAAGCCGTGCTGGAGCTGGAGAACATCAAGGTGTCGGCGCAGGCCATCTACCTGTTCCTGAAGGAGTTTCAAGGCAGAGCCCACAAGGAGGATGGAGCAGCTGGGAACAGCAGTCACATGGTGCCGGTTTCGATGCCGGGCGGCTCTGAGATGCGGACGGGCAGCTGGAGCGACCAGCAGCTCAGAAACCTCCTCAGAGAAGCTTCTAGAGTTGCCGCTTCTCAGCTGGCTGGATCCTCAGCCAATCCGAGAGCGGGACAGCCATCTGGGACGGGTCCACAGGGTGCGGATAAAGATGAGGACATCAGGATTGTCAGTGTCACTTCTTTGGCACAAGGCACGCAGCATGCTGGCGTTCAAGGGCAGCGTTCGGGAGTGGGAACGGGAGCTATGGGTGCTGCTGCCGCTGCTGCTTTTATACGAAAACGCCACACGCCCTCTCCTGCCAACCCTATGCTGGTGGCACGCAAACGGCTCCTGGATAAAGCTTTACTCCATAGAGCGAGGGTGGGTGTATTGCACATCTACACTTTTTACTTTTATTATTAAACTTATACTGCAGTCAACATTTGAAGTGGATCAAAAAGGTTTTTTAAAATTGGGATACATGCACAGCGTCTTTAAATTTTCAGTCAGCCAGTCCAAGTGCTTCCGGTAAACTCAGTCACACCATTATAAAACTCTCAATGTTTAAGATTTAATTAAAAATGAATGATCGTCACTTCCTGATTGATATACGATATGAAGTGGGTCTCAGAGCGGACGTAAAGCACTGCATTAATTTCCATTTTTACACAATATGCCTGTGTATTTTTAGTGGAGTTTCTGCACTCGCTTGCTGCTACTGATGGTGCCTGCGTTTACGTCTTTCATCTCATTTTATGCTTGAACAACTAAATGAATGCCTAAGTCTATTTAACTTATTATATATTAATTTCATTACAACATTGATGATGTAAAAGGAACCTTATGAAATTGAAAATAGTCACATACACTTACATTTCATCGGAAGTTTATCGCTGCCTGAAAAACAGTGGGTGTTTGTTCAATTGAAGATAAAAAGAATTTGTCTAATACTTCATGTTTTTGTTCTTAATTACTTTTTTTTCACCTTTGCTGAGCCTGGAAGAGACTTAAGCATTACAAACCCCATGCTAACTATCCCCAAACATTGAATGATATTTTACAAACTGACTTTTTTTTTAATCACCGTTAAGCAATTCTTGTTTGTGCATTATATATATATAATATATAACATTACATATAAGTTTTATATGTAAATATAAATACACATTTTATCATGTGTATGTATGTATATATATATATATATATATATACACACATGATAAAATGTGTATTTATATTTACATATAAAACTTATATGTAATATGTATACAGTATGTATATATATGTATGTATGTATGTATGTATATAGTTATATATATATATATATATATATACATACTGTATGTATGTATGTATGTATATATATATGTATGTATGTATAATAAATATACACAGTAACTCAGTACACACTTATATATTATGTCAAATCAAACTTTTATTTTATTTTTGCCCAGCACTAGTAATTATTTAAATTGGTGTTGTTTTCTATCTACCTAAAATGTTTAATTGATCATTGTTAAATCATAAAAGGAACATTTATTACAATGTTATAATCTAAAAAAAAAGAAAAAGTGACATGCATATTATAGGGACATGTGCTTCAATTTCATTAAAAATAATAAAATAAATTCTTAATGATTTTTTTGTGAACATCACCTATAATAAACCAAAATAAACGAGCTTGTGTGTTCTTTGAAGGTAAGAGACAGCGGCCCTCAGGGCGGCCAGCAGGTGTCGGTGTCGGTGAGACGAGATCAGTCCTGTTTCTCTACCTCTGATGGGAGAAAGCTGGTGTTACCGCAGTCAGCTTCATACGACCTCACTACAGCCAGACCTCCAAACATGGTGAGTGCTAAAGCGTCATCAAGACCATCAATGTATAATAAATACATGAATGTATTATAAATAAATGTTTTATCATTTCTATCCAATAATTATTTGTGGATAAAATCAGAATGAAATGCAATTTGCTGTAGTTTTACTTAATAATTTGGTAAGGTTCATCTGCGCAGATGCAGACATGTTACACGCTTGTGCTTCAGACATCCCTAAATAAAATCCAAAAACCAAATAAATAAATGATTATTTCTCATGTTGACATTACACATTGTACTTAATTTGTTAATGTGTTTATTCTTAATTTTTTTTTATATTTCTAATTGATTAAATTTACAGATCGTGAGAATAACCCAAGTAAATGCTGGTTTATACTTCTGCATCAAGTGATCGCTTTGACTAGGGCTGCAAGATTCATCGTATTATTAACATGATAACGATATTTGTGGCCCACGATCAATAATTAAATATTGTCGTGATTTTACAGTATAAAGACCAAGCCGTTATTTTCATGGGCGGAGTTTACGGATTGTACCTCATCACAAGCATGAGGTGACTGCGTCTAGATTGCAAGTGTTTTTTTTTTTGTTTGTTTTTTGAGGAATGCAATGTTGATCAGGTAGCCTTTGCTCCTGTTCAGTTCAAACTTCCCAAGGTAACACAACAAATCTCATTAACCACCTTCAAAGCCATCACAAAGTGGCTGTCATCAGTGGGTTAGTGAGCTCAGCAGAATTCTGCTTTGCATTTTTCTATGCATTACTAACATCACTAAACCAGACAACATTTGTTTTATTAGTTAACCACATATTCGCGCAGATTCAGCAGTTTTTTTTTCAGACACGTTCGCTAGTAATGTAGACAGAAGAAGATACTGTATCCAATTGTGGCCCTGTTCACAGTCGTATTCAGGTTCGTTTTCATCAGTCTGGTGCAACTTTTATCATTTACTAGAAAAGTAGATGCAATTAAAAATTTCAGATCAATTAAACTCACTTTATTAAAAGACTAGCCTATTTTATGCATTAAATAAAAAAATGGATAAATAATTTCTTTTATTTCCGATTAGACCATGCACTTTATTCTGTTTTACAGTTTTAATATGCATATGTATTTTTTAACATAACATTGGTTTAACAAATGTTTTAGCAGATTGAAAGTAATACAATTTTTAATTTTGATTAAAAACTTTATGCAAAGGATCTGGAATTGATTGATCGCTCAAAAAAAAAAATTATCTAACACATGCATCGCTCTCATGCCACATTTTCGAGGATAAATTTGCATCGGCGGACATTAGGGATGTAACGGTATCAGAATTTCACGGTACGATAATACCTCGGTGTGAATGGCACGGTACTGTATTTATTGAATAATTTACAGGAAAAACAAAACTAATGAAAAGATTCAAAAAAAGTGCCAAAAGTGTTTATTTACCTTAGCACTGAACATATCTATGACATACAAACTTGCATTAGAAAGAAACCGAAATGCTTCCACACATCCGATTTAAAACCCGCTTTAGGTTCGATCATTTTCAGCTCTTTTTCTTCCCCGCTACTAGCAGCACACTCCATTTCCACATTACTGGATCTGTAGTGACAACAGACCGCAAAGGATGATGGCCACGCCTAGGCTGATGGGAATTGTAGTTCCCGCTACCTCCCGTTCTCTTCAATCGCCTGAGCAAACTTTTCTCAGAAATATAGTTTTATTGAGTCATGTGCCTACGGTAATATTGAAAAAAATTACTATTGCGGTATGACGGTATTTACAATACTGTTACATCCCTAGCGGACATGCAACAACATTAATCATAAGGTAGACACATGGGCTTAATTTGTGCCGGAAGATGCTGGATCACCATCAGGACTGAACAGAGAGTTTGTTATAAAGTGAGGATAAATACAAATACAAAACAACAATATGCATGATCAAACCTGTATTTTGCAGAGAGCACTACATCAAGGAGCCAGTCCACACAGGAGGTGGATGCACCAACGGGTGGGTGTTCCTGTCCGTGTTCCTCAAAATCCTCCTCGTGTTGGCATCCGCCTTCCTGAGCCATCCACGTCTGCGGCGACATCCCAAAACACAGCCGCCCCTGCTCGTGTCCAGAACGTGAGCAACCAGCCTTCACCTCCTCCTCCTGCTCCTCCTGCCCAGAGGAACGTCCTGGAGCCTGGAGCCGTGAGCAGCCTGCAAGAGCAGATCCAGCTGCTGGGCAATGAGCTGAGAAGTTTGGGACTGGCGCTGAGGATGATGGTGGACCATCAAGGCCGACTGGAGAGAGAACAAGCGCAGCAAACTCAAGTCCAGAAGCAGATCCTCAGCACCCTTCAGGATCTTGCGACCAAATTCGACCCTCTGCAGCCCACATCTGCTCCAGCATCCTGTTCGATGGCCTCGTCTGCGGTCTTCAGCCAGGCTCCGACCAATCAGAGTGTGTACGCTCAGTGCAGTCAAGCCCAAACGCGCTACAACGAGATCCACGATTCCGGACTGGAGGGCATCGAGGTGTTTTCTCTGGACCAGCTCAGCCCGACTGCAATGAACGGGTTTCAGTCGTGCCCGACCTCCAGCGGGCCCCCGTTCACCCATGCACAGGGGCGCACGGCAACGTTCACGCAGACGCAAACATTTGCGTCCAGTGCGCTGCCGTTTGCGCAACCGCACACAGACTCCTTCATTGGAATGGATGGAAAAACCGTAGACCTGGCCTCCACCAGTGCGGATGGCTCGTTTCAGACCTGTAGTCCGGGGAACCAGACCTCGAGTCTTCCAGTTTCACCGCGCGATTCTGAGCTGAACATTATCAAAGTGGAAAATGTGTGAAGTGTGTGACTGAAGTCTAGAGATGTGGTCACACAAAAAAACAATCGAGAAATTGATTCAAAGATTTTCAAAATCACTATTGTCTCTTGAATTGATTTTGAGCTTACTTTTAAACAGCAGAAGGCGCTCTAGGATTTTTTTTTTATATAGGAAAGTAGAGAATTGAAAGGAAAGCATGGGAAGCAAAGAGAGGGGAAGAATCAGCATAGGACCGCAAGGCGGGAATCGAACTCGGGTCGCCATGAGCACCGGAGTACATGTGTTGACACACTAACCACTGCACTACTGGCGCCAACTAGGATAGACTTTAACAGCAGATGGTGTTCTCTGTTGACAACAGTTGACTCCTCACACCGTTAGTTTGCCATGAGAAAAAGATATGCAACAACAAAGCCCTCTAGCCCCTTACTCAAAATACTGAAATTCAAGTCTCAGTAACTTCGGATTCAGTAACTTCACCTGGACTTAAACAGCAGATGGTGCTCTAGCCTAGTTTAAATAGGCGCTCTAAGCTAGTTTTTAACTGCTGATGCCTCTCTAGGCTAGTTTTTAACTGCAGACAGTGCTCTAGGCTAGATTTTAAAAGCAAATGGTGCCCTCTAGAGTAGTTTTTTTAACAGCAGATGGCGCTCTAGGCTAGTTTTTTACTGCTGATACCTCTGTAGGCTAGTTTTTAACAGCAGGCAGCGCTCTATGTTAGTTTTTAACAGCAGATAACGCTCTAGTCTAGTTTTTGACAGCAGATGGTGGTCTAGGTCTTAAAAGCAGGTTGAGCTCTAGGCTAGTTTTTAACAGCAGATGCCATTCTAGGCTAGTTTGTACCAGCAGAAATTGCTCTGGACTAGTTTTTAACAGCAGATAACGCTCTAGTCTAGTTTTTGACAGTAGATGGCGCAGCAGATAACAGCAGATAACGCTCTAGTCTAGTTTTTGACAGTAGATGGCGCAGCAGATAACAGCAGATAACGCTCTAGTCTAGTTTTTGACAGTAGATGGCGCAGCAGATAACGCTCTAGTCTAGTTTTTGACAGTAGATGGCGCAGCAGATAACAGCAAATAACGCTCTAGTCTAGTTTTTGACAGCAGATGGCGCAGCAGATAACAGCAGATAACGCTCTAGTCTAGTTTTTGACAGTAGATGGCGCAGCAGATAACAGCAGATAACGCTCTAGTCTAGTTTTTGACAGCAGATGGCGCAGTAGATAACACTCTAGTCTAGTTTTTGCAGATGGCTGACTAGCCTAGAGCCCCACCTGCTGTTAAAAACTAGCTTACAGAGGTATCAGCTGTTAAAAACTAGCCTAGAGCACCTATTAAAACTAGGCTAGAGCACCATCTACTGTTAAAGTCCAGATGAAGTTACTGAATCAGAAGTTACTGAGACTTTAATTTCAGTATGTTGAGTAAGGCACGGGGGGCTTTCTTGTAGCACATCATTTTCTCATAGCAATCTAATGGTAAGAGGAGTGTGGCTAAGAATATTGTGGCTGATGCATCAAACTGATGTCAACAGAGAAGGACCACCACTTCAAATGCAGAAGCACATGGTAAGACTTAATTGAAGGTTATCAAAACTATTTTTGTTTTCAGTGGATTAACGAAAGAATTAACTGGTCGCCTAAAGAATAGCAATGTGCACTAATCACTGTCTTTAACGACTAGCCTAGAGCGCCATCTGCTGTTAAAAACTAGCCTAAAGCATTTTGAACATCTCTGACTGGATTTCTTAAATGTTTCTTTCTTTTTGCCACAGCTCTTCTGAAATCTGAATTTCAGTAGCCAAATCCTTTGGCCTACAGTGTATTTTGTTGTATAGAACTCCTGTAGCTTCCTAGAGAAACTTATATGAAGTAAAAAAAAAGTTTCCTTTTGTTTTTCATTTTATTTAATTGTATACTGTAATTTTGCCTTTTTTATAGGAAATAAATATCATAGTAGACATAGTTTTTGCTGTTATCTTTGTATTTTTTTATATTCTGTTTATTTAATTCTGAAACATGAATAAAGCAATAGTTTGATGGATTTTAGTCTTCAGTGATGCCATGGTTTATTTGTATTTATTTATTTATTTATTTTTTCAATAACTTTTGTTTTAAAAATTAGATAATTGGTATACACAAATATGAAAAATGCTTAGAAAGAAGCATTAGCTACTGGAAGACGTTGAAATAAAAATTTAACTTTTGGTGGCAATAAACATTAAAGAGCCGATCGTCCCTATACGCAACCCATACCGCCAGACCACCAGGGGCCGCCCCTTGCTCTTAGATGTGTGTCTGTTCTGTGCTTTCGGATTATTTAGGCATGAAAACACTTTGAAATAAATAAAAAACGGTGGGATTCCCTTTCCTTTTCATTACAGGCGTAATCGCCTCTCCTTTGCAATCCTTGGAACAGTCATATAGCAGTGCGTAACTGTCAGCTGACGCGCTCCATAGTGATAAATAGACACTGTTTCCCAAACGGATGCTGTACACACGATTTGAAGCCAAAGTCTGGGTTTTGGGTGTGTTTTAACAGACAAATGCACATTATTAATAATAATAACATCTAAATAACATCAACTAATTTTGGCCTAAATGAGCATAAAAAGAAAGTAATCGAATGCTTTCATTATAACATTACATGTGCATTTTTAAAGTGACACCTCAGTTATTCAATGTAATCAAATGAAATATAATAAATGAGATGTGCAAGTTACAGTGAAGAAAGATTCATGAGATTTGATAACTTGATTCTATTTCTTTATAATGGCTATTAGTTTTAATAAGCTGAACTGTTTGCTAATTTATTTGCTGCTAATATATACTATTTATTTATTTTGTAAATAATAACAATAAAACATAATACTGACCTTTTAACTGTTTATTTACGATGAAACAGGGGGTGGGTATCCCTTATTATGGTGGGCATATCTCTTATTTTCACACCCCAATGTTGACAGGTATGAACTATGTGCAGTGGTAGATGCCAAAAAATTCAAATAAAATGAATAATTGCTAAAAAATACTATTTAACTACTAATACCACTACTGTACTATATATTCTACTATATTCATTTGAATAGCATCACATTTAGAGATTCACAAAACAATGTGATTATGTTGGAAACAGCACTATTATCTAAACCGGCTAGCCTACTTTATGCCTAAACAAACATGACACCTCTAGAATCACTTAAATGACCTTTCTTCCCAACTCTGATGCTTGATCGACACTTAAGCAAGATTATCTTGAACACATTCACAAGAATAAATCTCAAAATTTAGCACTCATAAAGCGTCCGGTGAAAGTGCGTATCATGGGCGGCTTAATATATCTGTCCAGCAGAGGGCAAAACTGTCTCATGAAAGAGTGCTGTAAAACCTAAAGAGATTTTTCAAAAGGAAATAAAGAATTCTAAAGGGAAAAAAATAACAATTTTAGCATAAATACAGATCTTTAGAACAACATGGTTCTAAATAGAACTATAACTGTGTACAAAAAACATTTAAAGAATAATTTTGTTCAGTTACAGCAAGTCCGAAGAATAATGTAACGGTGTTACCAAATGAAAAAGTATATAGTCATTTATAGTAAATACTCTATTGTTTGTGAATCATACTATTATAGAGTACTTTAATTAATCCATTGCGATTCTATAGTTGCTACAGAAACACAACAACTATAGAAGGGGAGAGTGGGGCAGTTGGAACATAGGGCAGTTCCCTCCATTCCGGAATGAGCTAGAGTGATGATATTACTACGTATTCTTAGTTAGACCCTCCTTCAATCTGAGAGAAATCAGCCAAAATCAGTAATATGTCACCATTGCTTCAGTATAAAACAATTTTTTTTTTTTTAAAGTTCAGAAAATTTCTCATACTGTCTAATCTGTTTTTGTTAAACATTATTCATTCATAAGATTAAATCACTGTTTCTTAGCTTTAAATAGTTATAGCTATCAAGTGGTTTAAGCTGTATCTCTCTAGACAGTTTAATCAGAGTTGACAGAGTTGGGTCAGTTGCAACTCGCCATATAAACAATGTACAATTTAAATTTGATCACAGTTTCAATGTAAATTAATTTAAATAAATAAATTCTTTGATTAATTAATTCATTTCAAAGTTCAAGGTTGAGTCTAGATTGTCAGTAAAAAATATTTTTGTTTAGTTTTTTTAGGCCTGGTAATTGGTTGTTACTCGTTCTTCAAAAGGTTTGTAATTATATGGCCAATTTACCAGTTTGACAAATTTACATTTAGACTGTTTACCAAAAACATAAAAATAAAATCCATCCTGATGTTTTAGAATTTTGTTTATTATTACATTTGAAAGAATCTTGCAACCATCCCATGCTCAGGTTCATTTGCAACATTTGACTCTTTCTGTGCAAGTTAAAATTTTGCATATATTATCATTCATTCATTTTCTTTTTGGCTTAGTCTCTTTAGTTCTCAAGTCCAGGGCTCTCTCCTGGGACAGCATGCCAAAAATAGCTTTTGATGGATGATCAGCTAAATGAACTCTTAAAACTGTAGGAAATGCAAAAAGTGTTACAACTGTTCCCACTCTCCCCTAATATAAACAAATAACCCAATACTGTATGCCTGACAAAAGTCTTGTTGTCGATCTCAGTTGTGAGAGCAACAAATAATAACTTAGTTGATCATTTGGAAAAGAGGCAGAAGGAAGATTTTTCCTATGAATCATCTGCTGAACTGCATCCTAATCATCACCAATACTGCAGAAGACCTATTGAAACCCGCATGGACCCAAGATTCTCACAGAAATCAGTCAAGTTTGGTGAAGGAAAAATCATGGTTTGGGGTTACATTCAGTATGGAGGCGTTCAAGAGATCTGCAGAGTGGATGACAACATCAACAGTCTGAGGTATCAAGACATTTGTGCTGCCCATTACATTACAAACCACAGGAGAGGGCAAACTCTTCAGCAGGATGGCGCTCCTTCTCATACTTCAGCCTCCACATCAAAGCTCCTGAAAGCAAAGAAGATCAAGGTGCTTATAGATTGGCCAGCCAAGTCGTCAAGGATGAACATTATTGAGCATGTCTGGGGTAAGATGAAGGAGGAGGCATTGAAGAAGAATTGAAAGAACCTTGATGAACTCTGGGAGTCCTGCAGGAACTCTCTCTCTGCCATTTCAGGTGACTTTATTATTTTATTTTAATATGTTGCCTATTTTATTATATTAAATAAATGTATTAATGATTACATTTATTAATTATTTGTTGTTCCTAAATCTTGGATAGGCCACAAGACTTTTGTCAGGTAGTGTAGTTTACTACAACTATAGTGTTTAATATGCTGGAATACACCACAGTTTACTGCAGTAAAACTAAAGTGAACTGCAATTTTTATTACAGTTTATCAATTCAATATAGATAAGTATCCTGTATATAATGATGCATACAATATAATGCATTTAACTACATTATTGTTCAACAACACTACAATAAAACTACTATGGTATTGTAATAATGTTCGTTTCGTGGGAAGAAGAAGGCAGGGTCGGCGATATCAGGTAAGCACAAACTTTTATTTTGAATGATGTGTGTGAGTATGTGCGTGTCGAGTCGGCAGGTGGACAGGCTCTCCTCTCTCCTGGCTTCTCCTTCTCCTCTCCTTATGAAGGTGTCTCTCCGGCCCAATCACTAGAAAATACAGGTGTTAATAAATATTTATGATTAGACCACTGACCAGCCGCCGGTGTCTCCGCTTGCTCTCCCCCCTTTCTGGGTTTTCGATCACGCCTTCCCCACCACAGGTATTTTTTCCATGCGGGTATAAATGAAGAAATGAATCAGAGACTAAATCACTGAAACACATACGCTTGGTCATATACAAAGTATTTATTTCAGAATGTTAGTAATTTAATGACAAATAACTGAAGTAAAATAACAATCATATCTATGGTTGTTTACATATCTATGATTATAACACTTTTGTTTATTATCACCCAGCTTTCTTGGAAGTCATCGCACAGTTCAGGTCGCTTTTTGTTCCTGTGCTCTTTAAGGTGTACACAGTGTTACACCAGAGATTAAAATGATACTGTTTGGTCCGGACAGCAGTGACTCGAAACTTCTCGTATGGAGGAATCAGCACCTCTTTCTCATAAAAAAACTGTGAATACGGTCCCACATGAGCACCATGACAGGTTAAAATTTCAAAACAAGATACACTTCCAAAACTTTGAGCTACATTAGGATCGAGAGACGAGGACGCAAATGAGCCGAAACGAATCTCTTTGTTCAGAACATTCTTAGTAAACTCAACCGAAGTGCCGCGATACGTCTTCATGCAGCCTTGTGTTTTCCTCAGAATCTGAACGGCTTCTGTTAACAGGAAGTGCAGCGAATACCATTTGAATGTCTTTTGTGTATACTGTTTTCTACCGTTACGAGTAGCAGAATTGAAATCCTTGTATAGGTTGCTATCGGTGTACACATAAAGAGCGATTAAATGATTCTTTGTCAAGGGACCCACTGGCTTCTTAACGTACTTTTTTTCACCAGCCTTCCAAACCTTTTTATATACAGGCATGCTGTTGAGCTCCTTCTTCAGATATTTGGTCTTCACCAGATTTGCCATTTTCACTTTACAGTCTTTATATTGAGCATCGACTGAATTCAGAGCTTTATCCAGTGGATAAACCGATCCTGCAGCAAATGCTCTGTGATCCTGCGGAAACAGCAGTCATAAATAACACAGTATTAATATTGATGTGTGTAACATTTATAATAGAACACAATGTTAATGATATTTATAAATTCTACAGTATTAAACTGTAATATGAAATGTATTTCACTTTTTGACAGCAGTTATGCAGTATGGTACTGTATTTTAAAGTTGCACTGTGGTAAAACACCCAGTAGGCGCAATCAAAACAGCATTTTTGATTTGACGTTAATCGAAATACAAAAAAAAAAACATTTAATAATATGAAATACAGTAAATTACTACACTCAAAAATTCATTAGTGTAACGTAAAGTGACGCTGACAACATGGGGTGTGGATC